CCCAGTCTTGGGTGCTTGAAAAAACCTTGCTGTCAGTGACGGTCGTACACTTGCATTTTAACAGATAGCAAATCAACACTTGCCGGGGAAGAATTTCTAAATACATATTGCTCAAAAAGTAATCCAGTTTTATTGTTGAATACTAAATTTGAAAAATATGATCTGATGTTGCAATCAGGGTGGTGATCTGATGGAAACATTAGAACAAAAACCGAAAATGTTTCAAAGAGTTTTCTTTTTTCTACAGAGGACAGGGTTGGGTACTGGAAGAATATGTTCACAGTTGCAATGAATGAGAAGTTTGAACGAGTTCAACCAGTGAAAATGAAAGATGTTGGTTTACACTTCGACTTTGGTGAATGTTATTAACTGGTGCTAAACCTCTAGATTTGTATGTTGAATTATTCCCTGCTGACCTTACAGATATTGTTTAGTTTTCACACAAATATCAGCAATTGTTACATATCTATCATGTGATGAATATCTCATTCACGGCAGAATATTTCAGAAACATAATCTAAGTTTTGTTTCGCCTGTAAGCAAACTCAAAATATGAAAAGATTGGGAATATTTTTTCGCATAAAATCTCTTACATTACAACATTCTTGACTACATATACAAGGAATGCGCTTTTGTGATATAAATCTGTGACATGACGACACAGGTATGATTCATTGATACTGAGTAGATTCATTTCCATATATGACAATCATTCTCTCATGTAGCAGTTACATTTTAATTGAAAACTATTTTGAAAAATGATGAAAAACAGTCATCACCTTAGTTACGAGAAGACAGCAGAGATTTTGTATTCAGTATATGCATGGACATACAAACCTAGATGTTGGCCCAAATCAAATATTTCTTGGTGTTAATCTGCAATCTACACATTTGGACCAAATATGCTGAATTATTTTTGTGAGGTCAAAGTTTAAAGGTCATGGGGACCATTTTGAATTTCTGTTAATAGCAAGTAAAACCATATACATGTATATAGATATATCTGTGTTGAAATCAATTATGTGGTAGAGTGATTTAGAAAAATATGAATAGAAATTGTTATCACTTAATCAATAAGACATGTTTGAATGTGACCTGTATGTTTTTTTCTTTAATGGCTTTATGTAAATTACAGTGAAAAAGAAGCACTGATATAAAAATGTAAAATATGTTTGCAATAAGTGAGTTGTGATTTTAAGCAACAGTTTAAAAATAGTGCTGTTATTTATGTTGTATTATTATGCATGGTATTTGATAGTATAAGTACACTGCACACAGTACATGTTAGAGTTGAAGTTTGACACCTGTTTCAAATTACTGTGGCTTGCAGCAATTCAGACCCAATCCAAATGTGTTAGCAAATGAAATTTGAAAAGCAATGCAATTGAAATAATTGAAATTTGCCTTTTAAAAAAGTTGCACATCTTCATGCCATCACATATCTCACAAAAAAGTGTCACCTCAAATTTGAGTTGAAAATTTTGTTTATCAAACATACTTAGTCAATTATATGAGTCTTTCCTGTTATATGTATATTCAATGCTTAGATACACCAAAAATATATGCCTATGTATAAAGTATATTGAAAATTATATGTATTAAGGTTCTCCAGGCTTAATAAATTATATCAAGTATTGTACTTAAGATTGAAAATATAGTTATGTATCATGTGACTAATTTGCATATATACCCTTAACAATTGTTACAATTTTACAATATATATATATAATGGAGTTCATGAATTGTACAGACATGAACAGATTAACATTATGATTTGACTAAAAGTACCTGACAATGTTGGTGACAGCCTTACAAACCTAATGAGTTAGACTATTTTCAAGCAATTTTCTGGGCTTCAAGTTGATGGTTGTGTTATTATTGCAATAGCTTCTATGTCTGTTTTAAACTTTCTTTTTAATTTTAAGCAATCAACAAAATTAATTTTAGTATACTTTTAAATTTTTTTTTATATATATTTTGTAATCTTTACTTTATTGTCCTTAGAACAGTATTAATGACAAATAAATTAACCAAACTTCCAATATCATTGCACCTTCATATGTCACATATGCTTTTTTGAATTTCTTATTATTCCTTGTTTAAATGTAGTTTGAACTTCTATCTGTCCATCTGAGCCGATTACATTCAAATTTCGGACACATGTCACATATCATACATATGCAAATGCGTCATGATCCAATTCAAAATGGCCAAATGGCGACCATTTTAATGCTAAAAATTCATCAAAATCAAGCATTTCTGTAATTTTGAAACCAGATCTCAGTCGTGCATGGACATATTTTATTCAAACTTGGTATATCAGTAATGAGTTCATGATGCACCATTTTATTTTCCATGTCAGATTCAAAATGGCCGACTGACGGCCTTTTTGTTTTAATGAATACTTTTCCAGCACTCACTCTGACATGTCAAGACTAATCATGTTCAAACTTTATATGAACATCATATATCATCACATTGCCATTATGTTGATGGAATGATCAAAGATTAAGTTTCTTTTCACATGAATAGAAAATTAAGTAATTTGCATAATAGTCAGTATTGGAGATCGTATTACCCTTAGTCAAATGTGAGAAATTAATATAATATTTATGATCATTCACAGGAGTTTACTCCTTTTGCTCATGGGAAAAATATGTGTTGTCAAAATGGGGCAAAATTTGTAAATGATTTTAAAATGATATTTGAAGTACTGTGAAATACTTTATTTTCGCTGGAATTAATTTTCGCTGAAATGGCTTTTTGGGCGTTTTATATGGAATTTATTTTCACTTATGTTTGATGAGTTTAATGTGAAATATAGGAAAAAAAGTATATTCGCTGGATTTTAGTTTCACAGAATCATCCCTTCAGCAAAAATAGCAAAAATAAATTCTAAGCGAAAATAAAGTATTCTACAGTATACCATGGTTTCTATATTGTTTGCTAATAAGTATGCAAATATTAATATGTTAATAATATGCTAATTAGCAGATATTGATCAATATTTAAATTATATGCTGAGTGGCAGATGTTTATCGATATGTAAATGAGATGCTATTTATATGTAAATGATGCAATACCATGTTATAAATTTGTGTCGTATAATTTGTCATATATTAACATAGCATTTATTTTATTTTATTTTGTTTATAGTAAACTTACTTGTTTTGTTGTCATTTGTTGATCTTGAATAAGTCTTACATCCTGGTACTTATTGTGATATGAACCAATAGAAAGACAGCTTTTTATCATGTCATTAGTTGACGCAAAGGATGTTTAAAAACCAGAACTTGATAGGTCATCAAATAAACAAGGTGTAGTTTTTGTTGTAAAGAAACAGAACGGAGAAAAAAGTAAATATACAAATGATAAAAATCTGTGTTTTTGTCGTATTTCAGAGAAACCAACACTGTATGGTGTTTCAGTGTGCATCTATTCATACAGATCATCTTTTCTAAGTAACTGCAGGCAGTTTTGAATCCTTGAACAATTCTCAAAATTTGAGTATATTCAGTATATCAAATAACTTGCATGATAGTTTCAGTTTATATATCAAATAACTTGCATGATAGTTTCAGTTTATATGTCTCCAATAAAGCTATGAAGCTCCAAAGCAAACAACTTGGCGATACTCCATTTAGGGAACAATGGTACTCTGAAATTTGTCTGAATGAGGAAAATGACACTGCGTTTTTTAAACAAGTTATTACATGAAAAGTGATGTACCATGCTTGTCATTCATTGAACATACAGCAGAAGACTTCCACATACAAATGAGTTACCAACAAAAAGTATTCTATTCTAGCCTCATTTTAAACTTTCCCAATAGCGCCCTCATCGACATTTTACTGGATGTCAAAACATTGGTAATAGACGATTTCAAGACCATTTAAATAATCAATGCAACTCCACTATTATTCTAATGATATGCAAATTAGTGTGTTGTGATAACTTAGTATCTATATTTAGTATGCTAGATGTTCTTCTGTTAGTGGTCACATGACCTGGTTTGAGTTTGTAATGGAGGCAATGCTTGCCAAGTTGTAGTTTTGTGTGTATATTGCCATTTTCCTGTGTGGTTAGCCGAACACTTGGTTACCACATGTGTATATGTCTCTCAGGTCTGATATCAATTTAAAAATTCCAATAAATACTACTCATTTTAAAGGTTTCACAGAGTAATGCTAAAACGAACACAATTTTCTGGTGAAAATCCTAAAATGGACAATTAAAAAGACAAAAAAGTTATTACAAAACGCCAAAAATTCACAGCAAAATCACTTTTTTAATAAAGAATTGAGGTATCCCTTTCAATTTCTTCACTGTACTCATTTGAATCTTCCATAAAGGATTTATTTTGCATTTAACATAACATTAATTTTTAATTAGTGTGAATTATGAGCTTTCAGAAAATATATAGTTTGATATAATTAGTGTGAATTTTACTGCAAAAACCTTTACTCCAAACTTAAAATATTACTTATTTTGACCATAAAACAGCTCTGTAATTTATGTAAATGTACGTGATACTAATAGACTGAATACGGTGTATATGTTTTGCCATAATTTGGTTGGATTGATCTGTATATAAGTCTTTCATAGTGAAATAAGAAACCCATGCTTGTAATAACAAAAGAGTCACTTTATGTAAATTTAAAACCAGTAACTATAGCCTGAAACGGGTAGACATACTCAACCCATAACTGCAAATGATATTAGAACTTACATAAACTGTCCTCATAATAAAACTGAAGATGAATTACATTTCTTCATGGATTGTCATCGGGACGAAATGAAAAAAAATATTGAACTTCTTAAAGAGGTAGATGAATAAAACATATTTTTTATATAAGTAAATGAAATTTGTATGAAGCTGCAAAATTAAATTCTTGTAGTTTTATCATTTCAAATCGTTTCATTTTTTTTTCAATGGGAATGGATTATTTGACATACTGGGGTGCTTAGTTCACTGGCTGTGCTACTATATTCCTGAGAATTCAGTGTCATTTTATTCAGAATTGGCAAACTTGAGATAATTGTTTTTTCCTATCCCGGTATTCCACTGAGCACCGTCCCTCAACACGTTGAGTGTTGAGGGACGGTGCACTGAGTAACTGAGGCACCTGCTGTCAATCTCACTTCTTATCCGCGTTTTGATATGCAAATTAATTACTTTTATAACAGGCGTGATAAGTAAACACGTTGACTGGCAACTGGGGATTACTGCTAACCACATAGAGGGACTGTGTGCTAACGTACCAATCGAATATGCAAATAGAGTAAATAGCAACCGACGGCCCTCCACATTAGTTATGCAGGTTGAACCGATCACGTGACTCGCGAAATTGGCAACAAGTCGAACTGCGTTCATAGCAACACACAGAGCAGGTGGTAATGGCTGCCGAGTCACACGGGTTATGTTGTAATCGCTGATGACAGAAATCTACCAAGTGACATTAATAATTCTCGACTGAGCGTGAATATACCTTTTTTCGACGTAGCTGCCGTGTAGTGTTTTGTTAGCGGTGCACTGAGGTAGGTTTGATACTGTCGAGTCGATGTGCCAGGGGAAGTACACGACAAGTGCCAGTGTGGTCGTAACCTGTGTAGTGTGTGTCGTTTGGAGTTACCAGTGGACTTTGACATTTTCAATGTAATTAATTTAAATCTGTTGGTCCCTAATCTAAATTGTACATCATTTAATCGTTCAGATCGTCTAGACTGTAAAAGTGCCGAGACATTGTAAGGTAATTTTGGCGCGATGTTTATAATAAATTTGGTCATGACTGAGTGAGTTCAGGAAGCATACATGATAATGGCCGCCGACGTTGCGATATTTGTGTTATTTGTTCTCTTGTCAATTATGTGTTTACATGTGGGCAATATGTGATAAATACTCGATTGATCTAGTAATTAGGCATCCATTCATAAATTAAGCAGTTGCGTCGTTTGTGGTGGCGTTCACGTAATTTATTAATTCCGTGAGTGTTGTGATAACATTCAGTGTTAGATTACAGAAATCTGCTAAAATGACAATATTCTAAATTATAAATAACTATTATTAATTTAGTATCAATTGTCGCAATTTCAAGTCAAGTCAATGTTATCAGATTTTGGTTTCAAGATCTAATTTGTATGATGTATGTTCTAAAATATCTAAGTTTTGAGGTTTTAGCAACTACCTCCTCTCTTCTGAGAAGTTTGGAGGAGACTCAGAACTGTAAACAAACCAAATATGTTAGATTTAAATGTTGAGTGTTTATTTACAGAAAAAATTATTCACAAATGTCGTGTACCATAGTTGAATGCTTGCTGTATAAATTACTAGATACAGTCGTTAGTGATTTCCATAGTGTCCAAAATTTCATCTTATACCAATAGAATATTACACATGTGACAGCAGTATTACATCAACTAATACTAGTAAATAAACATATTTCTATCAGTATATAGCTAAAAAAATTTTAGGAGTACAAATGTGGATGTACATGTTGGTGTTTGGCTTTTACTAAAAAATCGCTGTTTATAAATTCTCCCATAAGATTTTGATCGGAAAATGTGCTTTACATAAAAAAAATGACATTTAGGACATTCAATACTGTTTCACATTTGTGATCTGTGCACAGTAAGATTCATAATCCTTGCTAGTTCGAATATCGGCTCATACGAGAAACTATATCTCCAAAATATTTTGACTGTGGTTTGATATTTCAATGTGGTTTTATTTTTTCCACCGTAGATCCTCAAAAGGTCTATGGTTCCACATTTAGCCTGTGTATCAACTGCATATAACTGGTACACTCATGTGTTTTTCTCTAAAGTTAAAGGGCAGCAGTCGCCGCGCCGCGTCCTGTTCGATATGGGACTCATAGCAACGTATACAATGCATGTAAAATACATTGTTTATTTACATGAAATTTGAACATGTGATGCGACAACTACCGCACTTTAAGTTACCCCCCCCCCCAGGTAATGAACCCTGATTTATAATTATTAGTAATAGATTAGACAAGTGTACCAAACTTTTGTGAAACTGTATCAGACATCTATAAGACAGGTGAAAAAGGTGATCTAAATTTTAGGCCTAAGTGAGAAGCACTTATTAGTATAACATTATTAATGAATGGAACTAAATACTCTCACTGTGAGCTCTCAAAAATTTATTGTTCTTCTACATGCAACTGAACTGCAAATCCATTGTACGCAAAACTATAAATTATACTGTAATCAATGTGTGAAGGCATGTAGTCGGCTCTATCACAGGTTATTAATAAGTAGATGTCTTTGCTTTTACAGTTAAGTTGTACCATGTATATTCCATATGTTATATTATGAATATTCAATGACTGTGATGTAAATAATGCTTTAGGCCAGAGACATGCCACTGCATTCAAACAGTTGTTCTTTTCTTTTTTCAGCTGTATCTCCATATCTTGAATTACAATGGCTCAAGTGATGAAATTTAATCAGGAACCCTTAGCACTGAGGCCCAATACATCAGGGGTGGTGTTTACACCTAAACAAATCTTGAAAACCACTGGCCCTAATGTGAGACCTTCAACAGCTGGAAGAACAAAGGAACATGGACGTAAAACACCAATTACTAGAGGTAAGAATAACTGTTAGTCAAAAGATTAATAAAGAATTTCTTCTTGTGCAATAATAGGAGTGAATAAATGACCAAAATGGTTGTTTTGATGAGACTTTAAGAGTGCATTCTGGGATGGTATGTTTGTTGGTGGTTTATATTCATGTGATATACTGTAAAGGGATTAATTATTCACTAGGTTTTAATTTTGCTTATTTCGCTGACTGGAAAATGCGCTAAATTAAAACCCAGTGAATATATAAAATTTAGCATAGAACACATTATCTAAATGGTAAAACCATGAATTTAATATATATGGATTTTAATATAAAGATTCCAGGTATTTTATGATTTACTGCTTCTCTCAAATATCTCCTGAAGTTTACACATACATATAATACCGGTACCATCAACTTTGTAACACCAGAGATGTTCATTTCCTATTTAATTTAACAAGTACATGTGATTACAATAGAACATGTGTTGTATGTTTTTCCCATTCATAATTTATGCATTCTACTTTTAT